AATATAATATAATATAATATATTTAAATGAATTAAGAAAAAGATAGCTCTTATATGTAATAGGCTAAATTTGATTTACGTCGTCGAAGAATGCATAATGTGCCTTAAGTATTTAATTGTGAAGTTCAGAAACGCAGAAATTCTTTCTCTCTTAGTTCTGATGCTTGTTAAAGTCCACATAAGAAGGCTACAAAATACTTCGAAAATCAAAATCCAGGATAGAATGGTTATTTTTGGAGTTTGATAAAATCAAAAAGAAATGAAAATGAATAATTTATCTAGGTACTTAAATCTATTGGTCCAATTCAAGTGAATGAAGTAGAAACAAGATTGTAATTTTTACTTAGGAACTTTGGTTATGAAGATGAGAAATCAATGTTGGATAATATAGATAATGTATCATAGAGTTAAAAATGCCAATAATGGACATAAGAGGAATCTCGTATCTTAATTTGGGCAATATGCAAATTGGGAGTCTAACATAATTCTTGGAAGGAGTTAGGAAATTTATTGAATCGTTCTGTTAAAGACTTGAAAACTCATTGGACTGAATTAATCCATCATACATAAAGAGGCTTATTATGGACAGGTTAAGAAGATTAGACTTTATAAAATATGATAATGACCTATTTGAATAATTCATAAACCATCAATTGGAAATGTATGGCCAATGTTCTTAATAAATCAGATAAATAATGTTAAGATCGTTGGTACAACACACTTGATCCTTCTATATCAAAGGAAAGTTTTAAAATTGAAGATGATTTATAATTATTATAATTGGTATAGAAGTATGGAAAGAGATGGAAAAGAGTATAAAGAGAGTGGTCATTAAATAGAAAGAGATCTCGTTATGATTTAAAGAAGAGATTTTATGAGTTGCTAAATTAACCTGATTCTGGTTATGATAGTGATACATCATCTAATTCATCATCAAAATATGGGAAGTTGAATTAAGATGATATGGATAAAATTTAGAAATTGATTTCTGAAATATAAATTAGTGAAGGAATGCAATTAGAAAATAAATTAGGGAAAGACAAGTTATTAAAAAATAAACTTTTAAGTATAGCCAAAAGTGATCTTGATAAGATGCTTAATCAATAGAGAAAAATAAAGATTCAATCTGCAAGTACACCAACTGATGAAAAGAAAAATGATATTTAAGAAGAACCTGATGAAGTTATTATGAACACACCTTCTATAATGAATTCTTTATCTAGGTGTTTACTTAAGATTAATTTAGAAACTGAAGATGATTAATTATCTATTGATAAATTAGCTATTCCTAAAGTTTAATATAATGTTGATTCAGTAGAACATTTGAAACATGAAGATATTTTTGATATACAATTTGCATTAGTAAATGATAAAACTAATACTTTATATTATGCTAATTTAGAGTTTATGTAGTAACTAATAAATTTGATCACTAATTAAAGAAAATTGATGCAATTAACTGATATGAATAAGTAACCATAGAAAACAAAAAAAAAGTTCAGTTCTTAATAATTAATTTAAGTTTATCCTAACAAAGTTGGACTATCATAGTTCAGTTAAGATGATACCAAATAACAATGAATTATTATTTACCTATATTTCAACTCTTTAAAAAATATATATTTATTTTTATGGACTTTTAATTGCCAAAGAGGTATGGACTAAACAAACCTACTTTTAAAGTGATGTACAATATTACCTAATTAGGGCTGGTTAGCATTATGCTAAATTTGATTCCTCACTTAAACCACTTAAAAATCTGAATACATTCATTGATCTCTCTAAACCTATTTAAGAACTCAATTACATTGAAAACAGAAAGGTTCGTCAGATAATGTAGCATCTCAAATTCTAATCATAGAATCGGAAATTCATCAATCATTAAGATTAATAGATTACAGCTATCAGTTAACAATTGGAAATAGAATTAGAAAATCTAGCAAGAGAAGATTCTACAACACCTTAAGTTGATTTAGTCAAACTTAAATTTCCATCATAATTGTAAACTAAATTTGTACATGAATCTGCAGCTACTCTCGAAACTCATTATAATCTTCATCGAATTAAAGAAAGAATGAATCATCGGAACATTACATTAACAGAAAGTGATCTACTAAATAAAATTACTTAAATTAACTTTCAAACATCTAGAAATTGTGACACTAAAGAATTTTATCACAATTTTAATAGTTCTCATCCAAGTGGAAAAAAAGAACCATAACTTAGCCTTGATGAAAAATATTAGATTCTGAAGGAATATTTAAAAGAAAGAGGAATAGAGATGGGTAAAAAAGAAGCTATTCCAAATGAGGGATACTTGTAATTTTATCATGAAGCCACCAACAGATTAATTAAATAAACAAAAGAATAATAACTTTTAAAATTTAGAAAGAGTATCACTTTAAAGACTGCTCCTGATAATTAAGAACATTCTCCTCATAAAAAAATGAGTGTTACAAAAATAATTACTCTACCAACAACTGTAGGTACTACTCCTGCTTTAAATGGAATAACACCAAGTAATTTAAATATACTTCATCAATCTTTATTAAAATTAAATGCAGGAAACAATGGATCTCCTATTTTCATATCTCATAGACATAGAACAGAAAAAGAAAAGTCACCTGAAAAACCTTATTCTGAAAAATGGTAAGATTTTTAAAACAAAGCAGAAGCTTTATAAAGTTATTACCTTCATGAAGGGAAGGAGTGTTTATAAACATTAGATGACTTAGAAAATACTATAGAAAAACCTTACTTGAGGCATTTTAATTAAATAATTAAAGTAGAACAGGAACAAGATAATTTGGAAGAGCAATAAAAACAAAATAAAATAATGAGAAAGAGAAAATAAAATTTACCTAAAAAAATTAGAATGTAGAAGATCTTCAAATCAGAATTATAATGATTCTTAAATGTGACTTCTATAATTCATTTCCCTAAAAATTAAGAATTTTTGAGTATATATATAGGTTTAATACATGAACATCAAGGCAAGTCCTATTAGTGTAATGGTAACACGTGAGATTCCGGCTCTCGAGTTCGAGGTTCAATTCCTCGGTGGGACGATTTTTTTAAATTGATAATATAGATAATCAAATCAATTAAGCATTCCAAATTGCTAATGTCTGAGTAGAAAATCCATAACTGATTTATGGGCCTAATTAATTTTTTAACCATCCTGATCCATAAACATTTTTACCAATCAAATTTTACTCTAGTCCATTTTAAATGATACTTAAAATTTAATTATTTCCATTACCTTTCCAAATTCTTTAAACTCCAAATATCATAATTTGGTTCCTCTTAGAATTTCAATAGTATTAAATGATATTCCTTAATGAACTAATTTATTAATAATATATGCCTTACAAAATCTATATATTCTGAGAATTCTCTAATTGCTAGTTTCATTTCTACATCAATATCAAAACCGGTTATTAATATATTTTAAGTAATCACTTAACAATGATGTCCTATTTAAACTGATATACTATTATTTACTACAGCCTATTCAGTCAAACCTAAAAAACTATGAGTTATAAGTTTGCATTTAACTATTAATTCTGTATTTAATTTGAATGAATAATAAGCTGAAGGAATCATTGTTCTTAAATCTCCTGTTTTATAAGAAAAACCATCAATTGGATAATTATTATTTGTTATTATAACATCGAACATTCCATTCTCTGCTCCATAATCAAAGTATGTTTTTAAGAGATCCATTGATATTCCAAAAGAAAAAGTATTTAATTTAATTTAATGAACATCCAAAGGTTTTGAACTCTCTGTGATATAGTTAAAAATCTCAACATTTAATCCTTAAACATAATTCTGATCATTAAAATTAAGTCCTTAGAATATTATATTCTCTATAGATTCTATTATTTTAGGATTAGGATCATCAAACTAATAGAATTCAAACATATTAAAACTTATTTTATTAGAGATCAACTTCTCACTAACAAATAGTTTTAATTTTGAACAAAAAGTTTCGGAATGATCTGAGTAATATTGATTTATCATTGGATTTAAGAATTTTATAGAGTTCATAGCATTTACAATTTACATCTTTTATGCTTCATTGAATCCTTCTAAATCCACTTAAGTAATTGTAAGTTCCATTGTCATATTTGGACATTCATTCAATTTATATGCAATAGTCTATATTTTTATAAGTTAAATATTTTACTTTATTATTTTAATGAACCCAAACAGAGTAATTCATTGATAATGGTTAGGTAAATAATGTACCATAAACTAACTTATTTTAGTAAATTGTTGTAAAATCAACTTAAAACTTTAATAAATTATTATCGATATCTATTGTTCCAAATTCTGCATATGTTTTATCAGGACTTGAAATTGTCTGCTTTCTTGTATCTACAGTTGGAATAACTCTAGTAGGAGTAAAGGTTGCATTTAAAAATGGAACACTCTCTTTTGGTAAAACACAACCTTAACTTGTTATTGCTTAAGAAAATGCTTATGTTGGAATATCTTTATAATATTAATTTATTATACACGGTTTCCAATCAACTGTCTCCATGAAATTCACTAAAAGTAAATCAGATTAAGTGATTTCTGATGCTTTAAGGAAAGAAATAACAAATATTATAAACATTAAGAAAAATAATTAAAAATGTTGCCTCATTTTAATATTGTTCTTTTTACTAATTTACAAATATGTTATTCATTTTTTGTAAAGATAAGATAATTTAAAATAGCAGCAATATGTAAATTCAACATTCTTTTTACTTAATTATCTTAACTAATATCAATCTCTTAGAATTGAAGTTTAAAAAATGAGGCAGAATGATCAATTATTGAATATAACTGAAATATTGTCTAAAGTTAGTAAACTTTAAAGATAATTAATTCTAAAATAAGAATAATTAGAAGAATTAAAAAAATTAGTTATTAGAAATCATTTCTTAACTAATAATAAGAGGAATAATTAAAAATTCCAAAACCTCTTAAAATATCTAAATGGCTATGATTTATTGATAATTTAATTAGAATCATAATGATTTTAGGATTCTGGTCTATTTATATTAATTTATACAATGTGTATTTAGATCAATTTTTAATCCTATTCTAGGAATTATAAACAAGGGGATAATTCAACATAACTTTGAGGGACAAATTGGATTTTCTGTTGTTATATTGATGGATAATAAATTTTTAAATGATTGGATTTGTGTATTAAGATATATATCAATAGTATATAATATTATAGCCTTTTTTATTTTGAACTATTTTCTTTGTCAAATTTATATTAATTTTAATAATTTATGGAAAACTTATAGCAATTTTTTGAAAACCTGATGGATGATTAAGAAAGTAATCTAATTTTATAATAATTTTAGTTACAATTACAGACTATTCTTGTAGCAAATGCAAGTAAGTTTGTAAGACAAAAATGTTAAAAAAAAATATTCCAAATTTTTCACATATTATAATTTTTACATTTAATTGTTAGTATTGTGGGTATAAAAATGATGAAGTAAGATTTAAAGATGAAAAAAAAGAAAAGGGTATTAGATTATAATTAAAAATTGACCATCCTTCAGTATGTCTCATAATTTTTATATTAGTAACTTTAAAGGAAAATAATTAGATCATAATAATGCAAGATATCTATTCCTGAATTAGAATTAAAAATTTAAACAACTAAGAAGAGTAGTATAAATACATTAGAAGGATTTATATAAATTTCTATTGATGAATTATCAAGAGATTAATCTGAAAGAAAGAATTGTTAAGGATAATTATATTCTGGCATTCAATTTATAATTGAGAATTTATAATAATTTAAATAAGGTAAACGTCTTCCTTTTCATTGGATAATGGAAGATCCATCAGGGAATAGTTTTATTATGAATCTTAATTAATCACCTTAAGATGAATCTTTAGATATTTAATATTTTACAAGAGAAGAGGAATAATTTGAAACTATTTTTAAAAAATAATCAGATATTAAAGAAGATGATATTATTTAAGAGGAATAACCAAGGCCAAAATAGTAATTTTATTTGAAAATAAGAGGGTTACCATTTTAATGCACTAAATAAGATTTATTAAATTTTTTGGAAATGCCTAGACTTAAAAAAGAAAATTTGATGATGAAATTTTAATAAAATGGATTGTTTAATGGTGAAGCATATATATAAATATTTTCAATTGAAGATTCTGATTATTTAAGAACATTTCATAAATCTTAAATGGATCATCGTTATCTTGAAATATTTAATAGTAATTTTGATGAGTTTTAAAAAGCATAATAATCAAATCAATATTTAAAGTAAAGAAATCCAAAGATTTAATCTGAATTAAGTAATTTAAATGAAGAAAATGAATATTAATGTAAATAGTAAGGAGTACTTAAATTAAGAGGATTGCCATGGTCAAGTAATGAAAAAGATGTACGAAATTTCTTTTAGAGTAATGATTAATTTATCATAATTAGATAATTCAAAGATTAAATCAGTTAAATTATTATATGATGATAATGGTAAAGCCAAAGGTTAATGTTTTGTAGTTGTTAAAAATTTAGAGACAGCTGAAAAATTAAAAAAAAAATATCATAAGAAATCAATTGGTTCTCGTTATATTGAAGTAATAATAATAATTTAAAGTAGGTTTTTATATGCAGTTAAAGAGAATACCTTGATTGTTTTTAAAAAAATAATTCTGATAGAAAGAGAAGTATCAGTCCTTGAAAGATTAATGATTATTTTAATAACTTTATTTTAAAATATCAGAAATGATAAAAATTATAAATATTTTCACAATTTTACAATTTAATCAAGATTGTAAAATAAGAGACACATATATATGTTTTTAGATTTTTAAAGAAATTAATAATAATTTTATATTGGTAGATGGACATCTTACCTTATTAACCTCGAATTAATTTTACAAGAACTTAAAGAGTAAGATCTATGCTTTAAACTCCTATAAGTGTACCTTAAACAAGTTCGACAAATTTCAATCTCTAAAATTAAGGATAAAATCAATCAAACATTTTATTTAAAAGAAATAGATAACTTCGTAATAGTTTTAGTGAATTACCTGGATTTTAATTAAAGAACTATCAATTTTAAGGGACTTTAGGAAAAGGATAGTTTGCAAAGGTTTATAAAGCCTAAAGAAAAAGTGATGGTTTGATTGTTGCAATTAAAGTATACGAGAAATGTTTTTTAAATATGATGAGAAAATAGAATATATAAAGAGAGATTAACATCTTAAATCAATTAGAACATCCAAATATAATTAAACTTATTGAAGTAGTTGATAATTTGAGAGGAATTAATTTAGTGATGGAATATGGAGGAGAAGAAAACTTAAGAGATCTATCTAATAGATCAGAAAGTAACATTAAACAGATAATTAGACAAATGATTAGAGCCTTGAATTATCTTCAAACTAAATAAATCATACATAGAGATTTAAAGCTTGATAATATATTAATAAATAATGGTATGGTTAAAATTATTGATTTTGGGTTTGCTGTTTAAACAGATGGAAATAAATTATCTGTTTTTTGTGGAACTCCAAATTATATGGCTCCAGAATTATTGTTAAAAATTGTTTGCTATTCTTATGAAGTAGATATGTGGGCTTTAGGAATTATATTGTATCATTTAGTAGCAATTGCATATCCTTTTAAAGGAAAAAATGAACAAGAACTTTATGCTAGCATTAAATAGGGATTTTATTAGAGACCATCTAGCATTAGTGAATTGGGATTTCAATTTTTAGATAAGTTACTTACAAATAATCCAAAAAAAAGAATAACAGCTAAAGAAGCTCTTTTACATAAATGGTTAATCGAACCTATGATAAAATATTATGATTGATTTTAATTTCATTCCTCATTTATAAATTCTATCTGAGTTGTATTCCCAGATTGTTAATTGTGGTATTTGAAATCTACAATATGTTTATATATTTTTTTTCCATCCATAACTAAATGGAGATCCATTCTTTTTTTTCAATTCTTACAAATAAGAGATCTTATTCCAACTATAAAATTCCCCTATAAAAAATAAATAAAAAAATTACAAGTTGTTAAATTTTGAAATGAAAGAAATGTTTAAAAGCATAATAATCTTGTCACTAAGATTCCGAAAAATATGTTTATTGTAAAAAAGTAAATTGAAAAAATTTTGAAGAGAGGATTGTAATGTTGAAAATCAAAGTTTTGTATTGTCTAAAAACTAGTTTATTGAAATTTCATACGCTAAAAAAGGCATAGTATATTTCTTAAATTTAAAATACTAAAAACCAATAATAAACACATCTATTTCTTTCTCCTATGCAATTACCAGCCCAAGGACAATGATGATCATAACATGCAACACATTTATTACAAGATTAACAATGTTTAGCTCTTGCTAATTGATCAATAGAACAGATTGGACAATATCTAATTAATATAATATTAAAATTTGAGAACCTCTTTTCTATGAATATTTTATTTGCTGTTCTAGTAGATTAAGTAATTTTATTTCTCTCTGACATTCCTGGAGAATATTATTCACTTATATATTCATTCTAAACAGAATGTACTTAAATTGTTAATGATGGTTCAATTTTGTTGTTCTTTCTTTTTTCTTCACTTTAACATTTTAATGAAAGATTTTCTTCTTATTTATTTATTTAACCATTAGTAGATATATTATTATTATTTGTTATAGGAACAATAACTTCATGTTCATTTTAACTTGTTATTGAAAATGCTTATGTAGATGGTTATTTCGAATCGAAATCTTGAAATATTTTTTATGTATTATTTTCTTTGAAAGGAGATGGAAACTTTTCAGGAGTCTTAGTAAAAGATGGAATTTAATTGATATCAAATTCTGGTAATTGATTAACTTCTATTGATGCTTCACAAGGTAATTCTCTTTAATATTTAAAACATATACTTTTCATTTTCTGATTTTTATTCTTAAATTGGATTTTGTTATTCCATAATAGGATAGGTTCTAACATTTGATGGTAAGGCTTAAAATTAGAACATTTTGCGTTTTTATGTGATTTAATTTGAACATTCAGTATTCTAAGGACTTCTTATTATAAGATAACCAGGCTAATTTTAAATATCTCTTTACATCTTTAAAGCAAGTTTAAGCATAAAATCCAAATGACAATATCATTACAATAGCAAAATAATAAAAAGAAAATGTTGAAAAATCAAAGACTTAAGGATTGAGGATGATATAAATCGCTAAAGTGCTTCCTTAAAGAATTAAATAAATGATAGGAGCTATTTAAATAGATTAATAATACCTATTTTCATGATTAATAGTTCTTTTAATATTATTAATTTTTGGAATCTCTTTATTGATACTTGTATAATAATATTGAGGTATGAAAATATAAAATAAATATAAATATTTGTATGTATATTAATATTTCAATCATCTTCATCATTTCCACATAATGAGACTACATGACAATGACCAGGATTTTCTAATTTTTACACTTCTGGTTCAATAATTTGTTATGCTGCAAATTACATAAAGATTTATTCAAGATTAGGTTGACTGATCTAGAAGTCTTTAATTAAATTCAATTCTTTTTGTAATTTTTCTTAAAGGAAATAAAATGTTTAATGGAATTAGAATCCTTTTAATGGAAATTTACATATAATTTTGCCGGAATGTACATCATTTGTAATTTAAATATTACCAAATTGTTGATTAATTTGTTAAATAATAGCTGTTCCATCATCCTAAAAATGATAATAAATATATAATTACTAAATTATTTATTGGTTCTATTACAATTCTATATCCATCTCCAAATTTAGATCTTAAATGTTGAACAGATCCTATGCATGCAAATCTTCCATTAACTTAGATAGCAATCTTATTACAAAGACTTTCTGCTTCATCCATAGTATGAGTAGTTAAAATGACAGAACTTTATCTTAATTTAACTCCTTATTAGATTGCATTCCATAAAAATCTTCTAGCAATAGGATCTACTCCAGAAGATGGTTCATCAAAAAATTACATATTTGTTCCACCCATTAATGCTAAAGCAACACATAATTTTCTTTTATTTCCTCCACTTAATTATGAAGCCAATGTATTTTCATATGCTGTTAATTACATAACTTTCATAAAATATTCTATTGATTAATTTACTTCATCTCCTTTCAATCCTTTTAAATAAGCCCATATTTATAAATGTCTTCTAACATTAACAATATCATATAAACTATCAAATTATGGACATATCCCAACATTTTAATAAACATCTCCTAAACCTTTTTTAACCTCTTAATGTTCTAACAATATAGTGCCAGTAGATGGTTTTAATTTAGAAGTAATCATATTAAAAGTAGTTGATTTACCAGCTCCATTAGGACCTAATAATCCAAAGATTTATCCTGGTTCTATTCCAAATGATGTTCCTTTTACTGCTTAAAATCCATTAGCATAAGTTTTTGATATTTTCTTAGCTATTACTCTATCTTAACAATTTAAAATTTCTACTCTTCTTTCCTCCTAAATAACATCTTCATCTTAATTCAGACTTAAAACTCCACCTTAATTAACACCTAATAATTCTCTATTATCAATCAAGTATGTTATATAAAAATAAAGACAAGCTTAGAATAACATTATTATCATAAATATAAATGGATCAACATTTTAAAATGGTGTATTACTCTCATCAATATTTGATTCATCTTCTGTTTATATTACTATTTTATTATATACAGTAATAAATCCACTAAATGTTGCTAAAGAAGGTAACAAAAATGATAGAATCCAAAGTACAGCATTAACTTTAAAGCTGAATACATAAATTACTGAAGCAATCATAAAAAATCCAAATAATTATACTAATACTAAGGTTCTAACCGCTGATAAAAATGAAGTAAAAAGCCATGATAAAATATATGAAAGAGGTAAATATGCTAATAAACAACAAAATACAAGTCCATAAACATTTCCATTATTAATAACTTAAACTTAAAAAACATTTACTGAGATGATAAAAAAAATCATCACTATTATACAGATACTGATATCATATAGATAGTATCCAAACCAATATGGTAATGTTCGACATCCCATAACATTTAAAGCATATTTCTATTTTTTTTCTCTTTCTTCTACAGGTGCACTTCCTATTTGAGAACTCGCCAATGAAGCACCAATTATTACATAAATATAAATATCTATTAAAGCAACTTCTCCTTATTCTTATTTTGGAATAGATCCTTATGTTGACGATATTGCATTCACTGAAACATTAGCTATACATGGACCTAAAAATGCAAAAAGTGAAGGCATAAATACACACATAAGATATCTTTTAGGTGTCATTGTATAATGTTTTTTTATAAAGCAAGCCCAAAGCTATAAGCCAAAATTATATTGAGGTGGTCTACTTAAACATTCAGGGGGAATAATTTTATTGAATTCTTCATTTATATCTATATTAATTTTAGAATCTTCATTCTATATATTCTTCCCTGATGCTTTATTAAGGAAGGCTTCTTCATCCATTCCAATATTAATAAAAGCTTCTTCTAATGTATTCATCATTAAATTAACCTAAATTGATTAATCTCTCTCTAGTTATTCAAATAATGGTAAGAATTTATCTTTTTATTTAAAAGGGACCTAAAATCCAATACAATCTTAGGAAGTTTAACTACTAAGTTTTGCTGATGGAATGAATTATTAAACTATGTTTGCCAATTTCTTATTTTTCTCATTCCAAACTTATGGATTGTTTGTCTTATCATATAAATTTAAATGATATCCAATTCCAAAATTCATTTTTATAAAATCTACTGATCCTACAGTAAGTAACTTACCTTTAGCCATTATTGCTAATCTTTCTGATAATACTTCTGCTTCATCTAAATGATGAGTAGTCAATACTAAACATCTACCTTCATTTTTTATTTATGTTAATATATCCCATATTTTTTATCTTGATATTGGATCCATTCCAGATGTTGGTTCATCAAGAAATATAACTCTTGATCTACCTATCAATGATATTGCTAAACTTAATTTTCTTCTTGTTCCACCTGATAATTATTTTGCTAATTTCATTCTATCATTTGATAAATCACACTTATTTATTATTTAATCTATTTCTAATTGTAATTCTTTCTCATCTATTCCTTTTATTTTACCATAATAATATAAATGTTAATCACAATTTAAACTATCATAAAGAGTATCTTTTTATGGACAAAAACCTAAATAATTTCTAATTACATCAAAATCAGTATCTGTTCCATAATATATTATACCACCACTATTTCTCTTAATTAAACCAGTTAATATGGAAATTAATGTAGTTTTCCCAGCTCCATTATGTCCTAATAAGCAAAGTATCTAAGATTCATATATTTATAGAGTAACACCATTTACTGCCATTAAATCATTAAAACTCTTCTTCACATTTTTTATTGAAATAGCTCTCTAAAAATATATTTATTTTATTAATACTTTAACTTATTTTGGATTATCAAAAACTTCATGATAGATAGCTGAACTATTATCTTCTTAAATTTCTGATTCTCTATTACTACCAATAAGAGGTTTGTTGATACTGGATAATTCATATTAATTGACAATTTCCTCACCTTAAATTTCATATTTTTTTCCTATAAAAAACAAAGGATGTTTATTTGTTCCATATTCATTTGGCAGAACTTCTTCTAAATATAAATACAAAATCGCATATAAAATAATTTCAGCGCCTTATATTCCAAAGTACAATTTGGGTGTTAATCTTGGTATTGTGCCTTTATTAATGGTTCCTAAAATTTGATTATATGGATATATATTATATAAAAATGTTGGAAAGATAATTCCAAATAAAATTACTATCCAAGAATTACTAGAATTAAATTAATAAAGTACTTTTAGAAATAAGGTAAAGTGAGCAAGGCTGAAAATATTGAACCAAAGATATTCAATAACATTGATAGATCAGCTCCATTTTTTGGTTGATCAAATAATGTTGTTAAGAAATATTGCTAAGCTGTCAACCCAAAAGCATAAAGTAAGTAGCTACAAATGATTAAGATTGGACTAAAGTATGAAACAGGCTATGTAACTGAATCCACAGTTGCTTATGAGTTTTTAGGTCCGAAGCATCCTGTTGGTACAGTTAGAACAAGAAAGAATAAAGAGACAGCCATTATTCTACATAAGTTGAATAAGAACCAACCTAACTAATAGGAAGATTGTTTTAAACCCATAATCTAAGATCAATGACTAAAATTATTACTTTTTAGATTTCTTTTTATCTGTCACTCTTCTCTGATATCAATGATGTGACCATGTACCTTGAACTAATCAATAGTGTCATTGGTAAAAACTCAGCTCCCACTTAAAGAAGTGTACCACTTTTTGTTTCTTCTATTATATGATATACTATATATTCTTACATCCAATAAGGAGTATGAGAAATATACCAAATGCCACCCCAAATTCTTTACTGAATTACCTCTCTTGATAATAAATAATTAGGTTTTTCTAGTAGACTTCTCTTGCTTATTAGCATATTGACGCCATCCTTTTGATGGAATATTAATTTATTTAACAAAAATTTATTCTATAATTTATGTTTTTCAAATTTAATTACATACAATAATTCCGTATTCATCATTTGTTTCAATTTCTGAATATGTGCTTAAAATTGTAATAATTACTTTTTATGTTACAATTTCAGAAAGAAGAATGAAAATATTTAGAAAAAAAAATTCTTTTAAATACTTTTATTAGATAGTAAATTCTCACCACAATTTTATCACTAATAAATTATTTCTTAAATTTATATTAATTTATAATAAAATGTTAAACATTTGAGAAATAAAATAATTTCAGATTTTCATTCATGAATGCTACGAACTAAGAGATTAGTTTTAATTGCAATAGGATTCTCAATGAAACTTGAGCAGGTTAAATATTTTACAGGCTATTATTGAGTATTGGCTGATAATGCTCTTGGATGAGCCTTTATTAATTATGTTTCTTTGTTCAACTTAAGTTGTGGCATCTATTGTTTAGATTTTCCATTATTATTTGGACTATTATTATGTTTGCTCATATCAATTTATTCTTTTTTTGATTATTAATCAGACTACTTATATACATAATTTACCTACTTTTTAATCTATTAGACAGATTTTCTGATGATAACTTTATTCTTAATAGGGGATGGTTTTGGCCATACAATTTGTTTTTACATACAAGGACACATACTATCAAAAATAGGCTTTAATTGAATATTGCAAAAGTGATAATCTTAATTATTCTACAGAGTAGTATATTTTTCTTTTATTAAATTTGGGTATTCTGTTTCGACATTTTAAACTCTTATAAAATTAAATTTTATAATTATTACCTTTTTAATGCATAATTTGTATAATCAGAAACACTCTATTAAATTAGATTATTTCTTAATCTGATCTTATCACAAAGTGTATCATAGTTGGTTTTAAATTCTTCATAATTTTATGATTGTCTCTTAACTGTTTGATAATCACATATTTGAATATTTTGTTCATCTAAATCATCAATTACTGCAGAGATATTTGCAAACATTGAAATAAATTGAGATTTTTCAACTTCTTTGAATTTGTTTCTTAAATATAATGTAGGAGTTTCAGTTGTTGGGGATAAATCACATGAACTGATTTAATGATTAATAATTACCTTTGTATTTTAGAAATAGTTATTTGTTTTCTTTTAATTCGATCTACTTTATTGATCATATTAGTTGTAAGTGGTTTTTCAACTAATTTTATTTCTTCAATCTTTTATGTTGACGAACGGATGCGTTGATTCTCAATTCTTATTTTTTAAGGAGAAGATTCTTTTTTAACTTAATTACTCAACTCTTCAACAAAGTCCCTGTATTGTTTACGTGAGGTTCCTAAAAGTGATTTAATTAGATCAGTCACTAATGATATGTTCCCTGCTCTGACTGCTTGCTTAAATTAAACCTTAAGTTGAGCATCTTAATTGAGATGCTTCTGAAAACTTGAATGAAGAATGTAATAATTTTCCAAATATTAGTACAAATTACATGTTGGTGTATAAGGAATTTCTAAAAAATGATTGCTGATAGCTTTCATCATTTCATTTGTCTTGACATAAATATGACTAATTATAATAATAAAACCAACCACATTTGTTCTTCATTGTATGATTTAGTATTTCGAATCACTCCAACTATCCAATTTTCTTTTTCGGCTCTTATTTTTTCTTCTTCTTTCAATTTTCTTACCATAGAGTATACATTCCATCTCTCTTATGGTTAATTTCCTCTAATCTAATAAATAGCGTCTTAAATTTCATTTATTTTTGCTTTTCTTTACTATATAGCTCCTAATAATTCGTCCATTTTAGAGTAAAATAATTTTTTATTATTAGATGGCTTAAAAATTTAAAGAGCGGTTGCTTTAAGGTATTGGATTGATGATAACATTAATAGGTACTGGAGTGTCAAACAAGAAATTTGAATCTGATTATGCAATGAAATTGATGTAAAAAATGGGATGGAATTAAGGTTAAGGACTTGGTAAGAACAAAGATGGTTAAACAGATTGTGTATAAATAGAAAGAAGAGCTGAGCAATTAGCAGTATTTAATAAGTTTTAAAATGTAGCTTGGAGCTTAATAATGCAGTTTGGGTTAAAGTTGGAATGATTTGTGGTGGGAATAGAGTTATTCAAGCAGTCTTAAGAATCTAAAACCAATATCTAGTAAAATTGTAATTGATAATATTTTATATATAAGCTTCCTCAACCAATATCATCAGAAGAGGATGATAAGTTTTCAGATTATGAAAAACATAAAATTAATCGTTCTTAAAAATCAAAAACATATGCATAATCCGCTAAGGTTCTAATTGAATAAGATAGTGACTCAGAAAATGATACTTTCATAGCAATTTAAAAGAAAAAAATAAAAAAGACAAAATGATCATTTATAAAGCAGGATTCAGAAATCTATAACTTATTTAGCCTTTAATTAATCTACTTCTTGATTTTCAAGCCATTAAGTTCTCCTGCCATCTTACCAAATTCCATATTTAGGAAATTGATTAGGTAAATAATAAGCACCATAACCTTCTTATTTACCATTAATCCAATTTCCAATATATCTTCTACCATCTGGCCATAGAAATTGTCCTCTTCCATGTTTCAAATCTTCTTAATAATTCTTTTATGGATATTAAAAGTACTCCAATAAATTATCTTCCATCACTCCATTTAATTTCACCAACTCCATTCATTTTATTTTATTTCCAATTTCCCTTATAAATTCTACCATCTGACCATTCATATACTCCATATCCATCTATTTCATTATTAGAAAAGCTCCCTGTATATTTAGATCCATCAACAAAATAAAGAATTCCCTATCCTTCTTTTCTACCTTCATAATATTCTCCTTCATAACGTGCTCCATCTGGCCATGTTTCAATTCCTTTACCTTGCTATTTATCATTAAACCACTAAATTAATTATAATTAAATACTTGTCCCTAATACCTGGCACCATTTATATGTTAATATATACCTATTCCATTTGCTTTATCCTCTAACCAATCTCCATCATAAATATCTCCATCTCCATGTATAAGTTTTCCCTTTCCACAACATCTACCTTCAACCCATTAACCTTCATATATTGATCCATCAGGCCAAACTTATTTACCAAATCCATCTCGTTTTCCTTTTAACCATTCTCCTTCATAAACTGCTCCTTTATCAAGATTTTTTGCTCCCAATTTTATTCTAACATCACTATTAGTTTCATCTTAATCTGTATTCTAAACTATTTAATTATATTCTAAATTCTAATTTTTTGGCTTAGAAAAAACAGAGTTTTTACTTGCTTTCTCTTAATTTTCAGACTTATCCACCTGACTCTATTATTCTTAATTTTTTTAGTCTGGTGTAGATGTTTGAGGTTCTTAAATTTTATAATCTATTTCTTTCTTTTTTGATTTATCTTAGTTTTCCTTTTACTAATTTAGACTATTTGAATCATTTTATTTTTCTTTTTTTTTATTTTATTCTTATTCTTCATGTATACGATCTTCATCAAATTTATCTCTTTCTTTTTATTAAGAATTATTGGAATCTTTAATTTTAGAATCTTCAAATTCAGGATTACCTTCATCAACATTGCTTTCACTTTTTTAATGAGTCTTCAATCCATATTCAAATTCTTTATTACAACAACTAGCTTGGCAAGTACCCATTTTATAAATATTAATAATTTTGTTTATAATTTTTTATCTGACCAGATTGAAAAGAAAAGAAGTGGAAAGAATAGAGATTTGAAATAAATAAGAATTAATTTAAGGTGTACTTAATATATATCATAGTAAAATCTTGGTTTATATTGCTTCTTTCTTGAGATTCAATGCTTTATTAACTTTATCTCTATCAAAGTTATACATAAAAAACATAGTAAGTATAGTGTCTTCCTAAGTGAATTCTCTACCCATCAAATAACGAAGTCTTTTTCTTTCTCTTTCTACTTCAAGCTTTAAATGTTTCTTTGAACTACCATCCCAAACTTTTAATGTTTCAAAGTTTCTTTTGCATTTTGAACTATGAATGGGTGAAGTAATAATCTTAGCTTAATAATCAGATCCAATTCGAGGTTAATTAATGTTATGATGATGTTTAGAAATCTTCTTCTAAATATTATTCATCTCTTTAGAAATGGAATCACTTTCATTAACTTATTATGTAGTTTCTTCAGTTTTGAAGGAATTTTACATGCTAGAATATTTAGTTAAAATAATAATATTATTTGGATTAATAATTAAATCATCATTATGATTGCTATTATTAAGTTTATTCGATTCTATAAATATTGCACAGTCCCTTTTCTTATCCAAATGCTACATGATAGATCTTATCAAATTCTCTTACTGCACAACTTGTAGCCTTCTATTCTTATAACTTTTCAGATGAATCCTGTTCATAATTATATAAGCAAACCTTCTATTGTTATTGCTATAGATAAATAATATTATTTATACTGATGTGCATGAAACCAATAATATTGGCCATTTCTTAAGTATATTCATGGTACTGATTTCTCCAAATGATTATTCATGTATTGGTTAATAGTCTCCATTTGCTTTTCTTTCATATATTTTAATTTTATCTGATAATCCTACTATCAATTTATTCTCATTAGTTTAAATAGATATAACTTTACTTTCTGAAATTTAAATAATTTTCTTTGTTTAACTTGTTTAATCCCAAATAAATAAAAATTTATTGCCTCCAACATAAACATATTTAGAGTCAACATGAAGTGCTGTTCCAACATCCTAAATATCACATCTCTTTAATTCTCTCAAAGTCTTTATCGGAAATATTCTTATGACTTTATCCTAACCCAAAGTTACAAGTTATTTCTCTTATTGATTAATTTGTATAAGTAAAACGCCAGGTCTATCAACTAACTATTATGAATTAGTTCTAAAAGTAAATTAATTTTCACTGTTGGATTCTCTAATAAAAGTTTCGATTTTTCCTTTATTTGTAGCTAAATACAAAGTTCCATTAAATTCATCAGTTTCTAAATATGCAGCATCTGTAATATCTGCATCTAAATTTAATGTAAACAACTTTTTGCATGTAGTAATATCAAATCCTTAAAATTATAATCCTCCACATCCTGCTACTACTGATTTACTTAATAGTAATAATTTAGTAATTTCTCTAGAATTTGATAAAAGTTAGAAACTTTAATCTTGAGACACATTCAATATTGTTTCCACATCACCTTAATTTTCATCTTAATATGCATCTATTAATGATTAAATTATTTTTAATACCTATTTATGGAGATTATAATGGTGGTTATGTAGGTGGAGGTGGTGGAGATGGAGGAAGAGGAGGTTATCTAGTAGGAATCTAAGATGTACCATTATTTGTTTAAGATTAATATTTTTAAAAGTTTGAATTTTATTAGGTAGGTTAATATGATGGTAAAAATTATTTTGTTGTCTTATTATTTTACTATTATTTATTATTGTTTGATTAATTCTATTTATTATCTGAAAATGATTGTTTCTTTGAAAAACTACTATCCAATATATCAGTTATTGATATCTATGAATCTTAATTCTTTTAATTACTATTCTAATAATTTATTAGATTATTATTAGTGGGATTATTATTACTATTATTATTATTAATATTATTATTATTAATATTATTATTATTATTATTATTAATATTATTATTATTATTATTTGTTGTCTACTTTTTAATATTTTCATTGTTTCTATTTCCTCTTTCAATCTCTTCCAAATCATCATCTATTGCTATTATTGATTTCTCTTATATTTCAAGAGTAGGTGGTTAAATTAGAGGATATAAACTTTATTATTATTTAATAATTTTGCTTTCATTTTATTCTTGTTCTATTGGTTTTTATGGAGCATTTAAAAAATAATTTTATAAATTCTTTTTCAATACTTCATGTAAATTTACAAATTATTCATTTAAACCAGTTATGGCGCTTTAATATTCTCTTTAGTGAAACTTACCATTTGCTATTCTTTCCTATAATTATCCTATTTAATGTCCTTGTATTTTTTTGATTGAAAAAGAAAACCTTTCAGAATTTGGTTTAAAACTTTCTATTTCGGCCAAAAGTTAAATGAAAGTATCTTAATTTAAAGTTGATTCAAATTCGATCAATTTCTGCATTTATACCGATTTGGCGGTCTCTTACTATGAAAATTAACTAATCAATTTTTTAGTACTATTATTCATCATAGATTATTACTCTATTATTGTTTATTTAGATCTCTCAAATATTTCATTCATTTCTTTTTATGCTTATTCCATTGTTGTTTTAATTTAATCATAAAACACTATGAGACTATAAAATAATCTAACAATATTACTCTTCTATTTTAGAACCTGTATCAAGATTTTAAGAAACGACCTATGATTTAAAATCTCTCAAAAATTTTTTTACAGGATGCTTAATACATTATTAATGTTCCTCCATACAATATACACACAAAAGTTGATGTTTATTGCACTTTTCATCTATACAAACCATATTGAGGAATTCATCTTCATGATCTGCCATATTGCATGATTAATAATGAAAGTTTTGCATTTAATTAATTAGCTTTTTTTTTAGTAATAACAAAATTTTAAATAGGCATATTAGTTTAAAAAAAAATATATATTTCAACAAAGTCCTCTTAAAAATGTTACGACTGGTTCATTTGTTTTTTTATTAGCTAAAAGTGAGTCTGTTCGAGTTACCTTGTTTAATGGACTTTTTGTACTAAAATCCATTGGAGATGTAGATTTTGTTGTATTTACATTTCCTTTATTGGATTTCCAATCATAATCTTTTAATGAGAGTTCACTATTATTATTTAAAAATGTTTTTATATTCTAATTTTCTTTAATAGCCTTTGTATTTGCTATTTCTGGTTTTTAACAAACTTATTTATAATTGTAAAAATATTATGGCGGATTTACTTCCTTTGCATCAATTCTTGGTTGAGATACTGCTTTATAGAGACTATTTATTCTATTCAAATTCTCCATTAAAGATAACTTTGGTTATTCTTCTAGTTCTTTAGGTTTTCTTTTGAAATTATAAAGTAATACGATACTTTGAAATCAATTATGTTTTATAATCCTTTAAAGGTTTTAACTCAGTGATATTTGGATGATTCTTGTGATACTGTTATAAAAATCCTAGACGTTATTACAAACTAGATTCTTATTGTTATCTTTGCATTAGTGAACGTTAAATTAATAAAAATTATATTTCATGAGTTTGTAGAAATCCTCTATTTCCTCTAAGTATTTCCAGTATTAATATATGATTTCTTTAGTTTTAGGAAATTCGTATCTAACATAGAACTATTATTTCTAGCTGAAGAGATCTATTTAATATCTGGTAGAGGATAAGTAGGTTTTATTACTTGAAACCGCCCAGAAGTCAATTGTGAATTATTCTATATTTATCCATTCAAATCTGTAAGGCTCTGAAAGCACATGTAGCTCATAAATGGATTTGTTTAATTTACACTATTATTTTGATTCATTGTTTATTCCTTTGTTTGTATTGTTGTTTTTTCACTTATGTAACTTTAAATTGAAGCAAATGCCTTTTTAGATTTTCGAGATACATTTAACACTACTTTAGGTTTTTCAGATTCAATGACTGATGATCTAAACTTCTTTTTTTTCACTTCTTAAGATTATACAATATTAGTTTCCTCATTTCCTTATTACTACTATTGTATCATTAATAACTATATCTCACTATTCCTTTAATTCTCTTAATGACTTATATTACGAATCGTAGTTTAATGTTTAATGAGAATACTAGACATTCGCTTAAATAGAGTTCTTTTTCTCTCCTTCGTCCTTTGTTATTCATTGGATATTAATTCCTATTGTTACACTATTGTTCTTGGATATTTACAATCAAGATGCAGCTATTATTTCATATTATTTATACTACCTACTTTTGTGATAGTTGTTCTATCCCACTTTTTCTTCTTTATTATTTTTTTGAATTCTCCATATTTCTCAAATCAAAACTCTTACTAATCCTTTTATTCATTGTTTCTTATTCTCTTATTCTTAAACTTTTTAATGTTCTTATTCTTTTTGATGGTGATTCAGCTTTATCTAATATCCTTAATTATAGATTAAATTAGGGTAACTGAGTTGAACAACATTTTTATTCCATGTATTACATGTTATACTTACTTGTCTTATCATAACTTCTAGAAATTATGGGGTTTTAGCTTGTATTATTTCTAATTTAAGAATTAATTGAAGATTCCATAATGAAATATTTTACAAATTAATTAAATTTGATCAATTTATGTCATTCATTTATCAAAAATATACACTTTTATTTATTTTTATATAAGTCATTTTTCATTCATTATTTAATGATAAAGTGAGTATTTATATTTTGTTTAGTTAATAAATATTTTTATAATCATCTATAATATTCTAAATATTCTAAGATATTATCAAATATATTTTAGAAATATTAATATAATTCTATTCAATCTAATTAAAAAGCCATATTGTTAAAAGATTAAATTTTGTGTCAAAATTTTTATGCTAATTTAATCGCTTTACTTAATTTTATAAAATATTAATTTTTTTAATTTAAAGAAAAATTTGCTAAAGGAATTGAAAAAAAATATTAAATATATTAATTAAACTAAAATTCAAATAAATCTGAGGAGTATTTTAAAGGATTGATTAAATAATCTAATTCTATATGTGGGTATGTTTAATTAATATGATTAAAATGAAAAAAGTTTTTATATAACAATCAATCAACAGATGATGAAACTTTTTATTAGTTATATTTTAATAATTTTTAGTTTTATGATGCAATTCTTTTATTGAATAAATAATAAAAAATTTATCATTTGAATGGATTACCCGTACTGATTTAATGTTAAGTAA